ATCAAGATGTTTCAAATCATTTATAGATAAAATAATAAAATAATTTATCAAATAATAAAATAAAATACCATTTAAAATAAATCCTATAAGTTACTAATTAAAATAAATCCTATTATGTTCCGAATTCTTCAAGATTAAAACAACAAAAATAGGTAATTATTTAATTGAAATTTAATCAAGATTTTTCAAATCATTAAATAAATTACCAATTAAAATTAAATAGGTAATTGTTTAATTGAAATTCAATCAAAATATTTCAAATTATTTATAGATAAAATAATAAAATAATTTACTAAATAATAAACTAAGTTACCAATTTAAATGAATCGTAATTGTTTAATTGAAATTCAATCAATATGTTTCAAAGAATTAAATAGATTACATATTAAAATAAAATAGGTAATTGTTTAATTAAAATTCAATCAAGATGTTTCAAATAATTTATAAATAAAATAATTTACCATATAAGAAAAAGTTACCAATTAAAATAATTCTATAAGTTACCAATTAAAATAAATCTTATGATGTTAATTGAAATTTAATGAACATGTGTCAAATCATTTAGAGAGAAAATATCCGTAATTTACTTTTCAACATTTGCACTGCAATCTTAAATGAAATGACAATTCTAATATTACCTTTATAAGTAAATAATCATTACTTTTTAAATAACACAATTGCCCTTTCATATTTTCTCTCCTTATCTTTAATTTTTAATATTTTAAGTATCTTAATTTCGACAACAAAAATATAATAAAATAAATATTGAATAATTTTTTTAAGGGAGCTAAAAAAAAATTAAATTTTGTTATATTGAATAAATTGCCTCTTTTGGCCGGATAAAAAAAATAAAAAGTAACAATTTAAAATATTATCTCTTTTGACATGAAGAAAAATAAACTCCATAAAAATATATTTAGTGAATAAATTATCTTTGTTGTCAAGATCCAAAAAAAATAATAATTATAAAAAGTACAAAAGGAAAAAAAAAATATCTCTATTGAATAAATTATCTCTTTTTATAAAAAAAAAAAAAAAAATGTTCAAAAGGAATTTTTTTTTTTTTTAATCTCTATTGAATAAATTATCTCTTTTGATAAGAAAAAAAAAATTGAAAAAAATTATTTTTATCGTATAAATTATTTCTTTTGATATGACCCATAAAAAATTACCAAAAAATAAAGTTACCTCTTTGGCAAAATTGAAAAAAATTCAAATTTGTTGAATAGATATCTCTTTTGATTGTACAAAAAAAAAGAAAAAAAAACGGTTATTATGAAATAAATTATCCTTTTGACTGCCAAAAATAGAATTATCAATTAAAATTTAATAGGTAATTTTTTAATTGAAATTCAATCATGATCTTTTAAATCATTTATAAATAAAATAATAAAATAAGTTACCAATTAAAATAAATTCTATTATGCTCCGAATTCTTAAAACAACATAAATAGGTAATTATTTAATTAAAATTCAATCAAAATGTTTCAAATCATTAAATAAATTATTAATTAAAACTAAATAGGTAATTGTTTAATTGAAATTATGTTTCAAATTATTTATATATAAAATAATAGAATAATTTACCAAATAATAAAATAAGTTGCCAATTAAAATAAATCCTATAATTTATCCATTAAAATAAATTATATTATGTTAATTGAAATTCAATCAAGAGGTATCAAATTATTTGTAGATTAAATAATAAAATAAATTATCAAATAATAAAATAAGTTACCAATTGTTTAATTAAAATTAATAAAATAATATGTTTAATTGAAATTCAACGAAGATATTTTAAATTATTAAAGAAATTACCAATGAAAATTAATTACTATTTTAGATAATAAATATTTAATTACTTTGTTAAATATTAATTTAAATTAGATTTTACTTACGTTATCATTTTACTAGTATATATATATGAAAAATGTTAATTTTCACCCGTTAAAAACCGACGGTACGTGTCAATAATAGATTGGTCCATCTGGCGCACACGTTCCTTGCCCTTTTTTCGTCACTGCTTTACCCTCTCATCTCTCTCTTTCAAACCTCTGATCTCTCTACGGAGAATCGACGGACCACCCACCTCACACCCACCATAGCCACTGCCACAACCATCTCTCTCCTCTCTCATACACATCAAAACCCACCGATAATATACCCAAATCAACTTGAACCAGTCACATAAAGGCGAATCGGAGAAGACGATTTCTACTCTCCATCATCGGCGGCAAGCTGTGTTTTCATGTCCTTTCCGGACGAATTCGTGAAGCTCACTGTTGTTCAAATATTTCAAGTCTCTTCACCAGATGCGACACAGGACTGGACTGCAAGTGATCCAATTGGGTGTGCGACCCATGTCGTATGCTTGACGGCCGCACTGTTGTGTCTTTGATTGCAAACAAGAGGCACAGTAGAAGCGGAGGAATCAACCGGAGTAAATGAATCTGCCAATTGGTTGGTGCACACCGAAAATGTGTCGACCAATGGCTCGCCGGAGCAGACCAAGTTTAGTCTGGCGTTAAGAGACCCAGTTTCGTGAAGCTTTATCCTTTCATTTTGTGTTTAATCTGGCATTAATTGACCCAGTTTCGTGAAGCTTTCTGCTAAAATCTATTAGTTGCATACAATTAAAAAAAAAAAAAATATATATATATATAAACTCACCAAACCACCAACACAATCAATGTTTTCTCTGTATCATGAATGTGACCTTGAAAACCAAATTAGAACCCAAAAGACTCATCAGCAATATTACCAAACCCCTCTCTACTCGCTCTTTATCTACATGATAATACACACACACAACAAATCTCTTTATTTTTTTGGGTAATTACGAATCTCTATATTGATGTACATATATATATGCTTGCCTCAATGGGTTTGTTTTTGGTTGTTTTTTTTTTTTTTTTCGATTGTTTTTGGTTGGTTTGTTGAGGTGAGATTGAAGTGGAGGCCATGGAGGGTGATGGATTGAGCTCTTTGGATTTGTAGATGGAGATCGATCGCCCCCAATTTCATCAACGGTTTGAGAAACTAAATGGGTCTCAGAAAATATATATTTTTTCTGACAATGAAAATGGGTCTCCGTTTCAGGTACTGGTTTTTAGAGAGGGAGTTTACTGGAGAGATAAAGATAGTTTTGATGGAGAAGATGGGTTCATCGGTGGTGGCGGAATGTTCGCTGGATGGATGGGTTCGTCGCCTACTTTGAGAGAGAGAGAGAGGAGAGGGGGAGAGAAGGGGCATCTGGTTCAAAAAAACATAAAAAAGAAAAGAAAATTGACACATTGGACAGCACGCATGACAGACGGTGAATAATGGGGAGAGAGAGGAGGGGGCATCCGGTTCCAAAAAAAAAAAAAAGAAAAAGAAAAAAAAGAAAATTGACACGTTGGACGGCCACACATGACAGGCGGTTGCATATAGTGGGTAGGGCAATGTAGCACCACTCATATATATAGTGGGAAGGGGGGTTCATTCTTGAATTTTATAAGAATAACGGAGTAAACTATACTGCTTTGGTTCACGAAAAAAAAAAAAATTAAAGTATAGTAATATGGTCACTATTTGTTTAGTGTTAATTTTTTTAAAAAAAATATAATAAATTATCATTTTATAATTTTAATAACATAAAACTTTTTAAAGAAGTTAAAATTTTCGTGTATTTTTTGTAAAATTTTTTTACAAGAAAGTTAGGTTATGACAGCAAATATTTTTTTTTTTTCTCCTCACCAAACTCCTAAATTACTCTGACACCAGTAAGGCCCTCCGATTGGGTCCATGCTATGTTGGGTTTCGCTATGTTGCTGGGCTCCACTTACTCGTTCTCTGGTCATATAGTTTTGGGCTTGTTTTGGGTCAATTTCCTTTGTAAGATGGAAATGGCCTTCGGGCCTCATGTTCTTTTTGCCAGACACACTTATATGCATATAATAAGAGTTTTTTCGTTGAGTAAGAAATATAAATTCAACGGATGCATATTTTTGACCTAGGCGGGGTATTTCATTTAAAATAATGTTCACATAGCATTACTAGAAAAACACTCAACAAAATAATGTAGGTATTCTAATAATTTTGTTCAATTACGAAAAGCAATCTAACACCATACCTTACTTGCAAAATTGTGACAGTTTAATTTGTTTTTCAAATATACCCAATCTATATATATATATATATATATATATATATATAGCAATATACCCAATCTATATATATATATATATATATATATAGCAATGTTCACAATATTTAATACTATTTTTTAAATTTCTCTATTTTGCATATCATCATTAAACTGTACAAATAACCAACAAATAATGTTTTAAAATCCTACTTTTCTTTCGCATCCCAAAAAACTAAAACGAACGCACCAATCGAAATCCAGCCATCAAACTAAACGTCCAGGGGGCCTGTGCATGGAAAGATGTACAATTCCGTAGTCTGGACGCAGGGAGTTCAATTTTTATTTATTTATTATTATTATTATCAATTTGAATGGCAAATGCTTGTAATCTGGAACCACACAATTCAATGAACGCAAACACAGGTGATGCATGGCTGTCATCAACTCGTGTTGTAAGGTGTTGGGTTAAGTCACGCAACGAACACAAGCGCAATGAGTTTAAAACCGGATTGTTGAGTTTGAAACCCTGAACAGATAAGTTGAGGGAAGGTGAGGATGACGTTACTGTAGGTAACCTAAAACATCCACTAATTCATGTCTTGATTGTGGAATTGAATATAAACACCCAACCACCATACAACCTACCAAGTATGCAGTAATTCCAATTAAGCAAGCCATTACCCCATTAGTAAGCACACCCAGTCTTGTTTTCAACCAATACATAATGCCCAATTATACTACCGCATGCTAAGATTTACTAGTACACGTTTTCCTCATCAATACACAAAATTGCCTAGTCCCAGAAATCTTTAATTAATGTACTGAAAATCAATAATTCGTAATTTTATTTTCCTTAAAAATTTTACTACAATATCAAAAGAAACAAATTTGCACAAATTTAATACATTCAACATAGAAGTACCTCTCTACACAATCTGCTAGGTTTGTCTCTTAAACAATATGCTTGTCATTATTGAATTTACGAGGCAGTCATGAACTCTGAATGTCATGAACTCGAACATTAAGTCTTCTAAGCCAGACTGAATGAAGTATCATGTGAAAAACATCGTACCGTTTGGGAGGCGAATTGATCTCGAAATGCCTTCTAACTTGGACACTCCTCCTCTGCATCCTTATGTACTGTCTCTGAGAGATGCCCATTAGGATTTTCTTCAGGTTGGGGATTTCCTTCACTGGAATTTCGACAGAGAATGACTTCCAGTTCAAAACATCGCTGAATGGTGCCACATAGTGGTCCTTAATGAGAACCGGAACACAACCCGTGTAGAGTGCCTCCACCATTCTTGGGCTCGCCACTTCATAACCACTTGCACATATGCAGTACTTGCTCTTCCTCATCATACCTAAGTATGAAACGCCCTTCGGGAGGTACTTGTGGACCTGGACATCTTCGTCCTTGTTTTCCCAATGTTCTAGGAGGACTGGTCTAACCGGCCCATGAACCCCTCCAGCAAAGAAAACCAACACTGGACGTCGCGAAGGTGATGGACCACCGAGCAATCCAGTGGTTCTGCCTCCTGGGAGATGGATTTCAGGGAAGGAGACATCTTTGGCTGGGTTGAATTTTTCCGATGTATTTGCGTTACATAGAGCCCGAATAGCGTTTTGGTGTAGGTGGGGAACCGTGAAGGAAAGCTCAGGCCCCTGCAATGCAATGCAATAGTTGCTCAGGCAATAGAACACCCCCTATTTGTTTAGAATGCATAACTAATTAACTATATATATTTAGCACTAATTGTAGTGCATCACAGAGTAAATAACTCTTTAATAGTTATGTAAAATCATCTTGATGAATGGCTCGGAAATCTGATGAAGACTTGAGCACACTTCTGTGAACTCTCTTACAAATTCTACTTAGATTGATCAAAATTGAGGACACTGGTGTGTGGGGGTAACCTCCAATTAGAAGTTCCAGATCAGGAGTGTTGAATTCAAAGGCCAGTGTGAATATTGTATAATGGTATAAGGTCGAGTTTAAATGTTAGCAAACCAACTCAAGTCCAGACCTAGCTCACAAGTTCATGCTGTACTTACCAGGCCAAGCTCTAAAAGAAGTAGAAGTAAAGCAATGGTCTCTTACCCAATCATGGCAAGCAAGCATGAAGTGGTCGGCTGCGAGGCTTCGATTCCAATAGGGGTATTTTCCGGCAATAAGATTGACATAGTCTTTAACTGTTTGTCTCATGGGACGCCAATCATGCGAGTTGCTCACATAAAGAAAGTGAACCATTTGTGCCACACTGAAAGGAAGGAAATAAACATGGGCTTTGTCGGGGTTTTTGGTCCGAAAGCGGCAAAACTCCATCTTATGAATAAAATTTCCCTCCATTGCATATATGCTACCACATGGGCCATTATGAAAAATTGGTTGCTCTCCTTCTTCATATACAAACACCTTAAATTGCTTTTCCATTTCCAAATAGCTCCTGCAATTGCAAAGTAGAATTAGCAGTGAGATTGAAGCTCCAAAAATAAGCTCAAAGCTTTACAGCTTCTTCGTTGCTGCGATAACTTTTGAAGCTGTTCTGGTTAAAGCAAAACTAATAAGGTTCTTGCATGCTGTTTTGTGCTACAGTCTAATGAAGATACTAATAATCACAAACTAAAAGTTCCAAGTTGGAGCAAGTTTTCCTTCAAATCAGTAAGCCAAGATGCGTTTAGGAGCCCCAAATTTTTTATAGGTGCATTATAACTTATAACAGAGCACTTTCTCTAGCCATAAGCATTATAGACAAAACGAATCCAAAACCTCGAGGGACATTTCAAGCAATAACTGAACTCCAAGTAGAGGTTATCAGTTCCTTTAAAAAAAAAAATTAAAAATAAAAATAAAAAACCAAAACCCTCAATATGGGTACCTGTGAAAGGCATTGGAATTCCAATAGATTGGACCTCTTGGAAGGTAGTCAGGGTCGTCTAGCGTTACATTTCCGTTTTTAGCTTCTCTAATTGCAACCCGAGCTCGTCCTAGACCTGCTTCAAGCCTCTCTAATTTGATGTTCTTTCCTCGTCGTTGCAAAGTCATGGGCGGATCATGAGATACATTTGTTGAAAGAATGGAGTAGGAAACATTCATAGTAATATTCAAGATCTGTTCCTTCTTCTCAACCTGCTGAATTCATAAATTAATTACCCTTCTACTTACTAAATCACATCAAGTGAAAGTATGATATTATTTAATTTTTTAAGACGGAAGAAAAGAAAGATCTTCAAAACCCAACTTTCAAATAATATTTGATGCTGTTCTAATATTTTTACAGCTGCACTTGATTTAGACAGCCAATGTAGTACATTAACCAATCCAATTTTTAATTCTCTGAAGATATCATGATATCTATAAATGAATAATATATAAATCACTATAATTAATGGCAACAGTATAAAAAACTAAAAGAGAAAAATATACACTTTTTCACTGATATCAGTAATCTTCTATATGCTTAATTTCAAAGATCTACGTGGCTCATACAAAGAAACTTCAAAGTTCAAAAATAATTTGGAGCACTTCACTTCTAACATGACAGCTGCAGTGCCTAAAGATTTTCTTAGAGTGTGAATATCATTTCCCTTCTATGTAAAGCAACAATCTTTATGTAAGTTACACATAAAAAGTTCAAGTTAATTTCCTTATTTAATTTCCTCATAAATTCAAAACACTATTATATACATACACACACACACACATATATATATATATATACACAAGAAAACATATATGAGAAAGAGAGGTTAAACATAATCTGCAGAAATTAAAGGCAGTGAAACCAGGCATCTCTGTGAGAGGAGAGAGAGAAGAAAAAAAAATCGTTTCTAAGGAAGAAGGATTTGATTATTTCAGTATACTTATTGAACATGGCAGTCAATACGATGGCGTTTTAACTTATTTGCCTTTGTTCATTGTGTTCGTACAACACAGATTCATGAAAGGGGGAAAAAGAAAAACTTATAAAGAATTGTTAAACATGAACAAATCTACTATATTATTATTATTTTCATTGAAAGTTCCCTGAAAATATATGTTTCATTAATTCACACACACACACACATTACACACACACACACACACACACACACACACACATATATGTAATTATATATTAATACACACGGAAAAAAATTAGGATTCAATCAAACAGGATGCTCTAAGTTATATGATACTGCACTTCCATTGTCAAAATCAGTCTAACAATCATCAATGAAAAAATTAAAAAGAATAATAAAAGATAGAAAGAGACAGACCAAACACACACACACACAACACACAACACACATATACACACACATATGTATATATAACATTTTAAAATATTTAAAGAAGAGAGAGAAGAGGATCATACTGGTTGTTGGATTTCTATGGCTTCTACAGCAAGTGGTGGTGAAGAAGAGCGATTAAGAAGAGAATCATCTGAGAGAGCCTCTTCTATATGATTAGAACCCACCATTCTTGGCAAATCTAAAAGCGAGCTACGTTCTTTTGGTGATGAAATAGGACCCTCTGTAAAATTTGGATTCATAGTTACAGAAGAAGATGATGATGAAATAACAGAACTCCATACCCATGGATAGTAGTCAGAAGCAAAGACCCAATTGGAGGCCTTTGGACCCACTAAAGCCACAAATCCAAACACCACGAAAAATGGAGCTATGAGCCACAGTAGCCTTGTAGTTGAGGAAGATGATGATGATGATGATGATTTCCACCATGAAAACAGCTTTTTCTTACAATCACCCATCTACCCTCTCTCTCTCTAAAATGAAACTATGGAGTTTCAATTGGATTAACTCCCTGCCAAAATGAGCTGATTAGCCCAACCTTGTCTTTATCTCTCTATACATACATCTATGTATACTTGTTTTGTCTGGGGTGGGACTTGAGAGTGATTTTCTCTCCCTCTGTAGGGAAAGTGAAGAAAATAAGGGATTTGGGTGAGTAAAAGAGCAACAATTGGTAAGAGATGGTTGCGCCACCTCGCCAAGCGCCTTGCCGTTCTGTCCTCTGTTTTTGAGCTCTACATGCAAAATAAATAAAGTACGGGTTGTGTAATTACAATTATAACCCTGCCCAAATCACTGACCCGCCGATTTGTCATTAATATTTGGTCTTGATTTTTAAAATGTATTGTTCACTTCGAGTATTGTTTGCTTCGTACTCGCTGACTTTGGATTAAGGTAATAAAGTCTCTCGAAATAGGGTAATAAACGGACATCAAAATGGTTACTACTTACTAGTACTCTTGTAGGTTTAGGAATATTTAAAAAAAGAGGAAGAACACTGTACAATTCAACTTGAAGTCAATTAAATAGTACAGTATAATTAGTAAATTTAAAAAAAAAAAAAAAGTACTCCGTATCTCTTTAATATAAGAGTAAAAAAATAGTTATACATAATTGTGATGCTTCTAAGTTAATTGTTTAAATACACTTGCACCATACTAAACAAATGTCATATATATATAGTATATGTATAGTATATAATATTAGTCTTCATTCACATGTGTGAAAACAATTTCGCAAAAACCCAGCCTCCTTGTTTCCTGCTGCATTTTTTCTAAATGTCAAGTTTACAATTCCAACCTCAACCGTTTGAGACTTGGTAAAGGAGAAAGCAATAAAATAAAATAAAATAAAATAAAAAAACCTTTGGAAAAATTATTTTTATGTTCTTATTATTGGTATATTGATTTGATTGTTTCAATAGGTATGAGTTAACTTTATTTTATTTTATTTTAGACAATACTTATTTACTCATTAGTAAGTAGATAATTTTTAGATGTGATTCAATCACAAATATACAAAGTAGTATTCTCTTTGTTCCATTTTAGTTGTAAATATTTGTTTTTTTTTTTTTTAGGGGATGCGTAATTAATGTGTTTATATATTTTTAAATTACCAAGTTGTCCTTTAAACTTTAAATTCATAAAATACAGGTTGAAAGATTCTTGAAAGTTTAAAAGGGTAATTAAAAAAACATTGAATTTAATTTGTTTTGACTGTTCAAAATTGACAACTAATTATGAAAAAAAAAAAAAATTGACAACTAATTTGAGACACCTAATAAAATAACAACTAATATGAAACAAAAAAAATAATGACTACTAAATTTATTTAAAAAAATATAATTGGATAGCATCAGCTAGAATGGCCTATTCACCCATTCGTTTACAAGTATTGTTATTGGTTTACAAGTATTCTTTTTATTTATAAAAGCTTACCCTTATAACAAAAAAGAAAAGAAAAAGCAAAGGTCTATTTTAAAAGAAAATCAAATCTAATTCCTATTTTAAATGGTGTTCCCAATTTGTAAAATTGCATTAGGAGATGTCTATAACTGGAAATGACAATAAAGCCCAATATATTTCTGGGAAAGTCCTTGATTTGTTCTATATGTGCAGCTAATTCAAAATAACAAAACTAATATGACAAAACTGTCCTTATATTAGGGGTGGCAAATAGTCAGGTCAAACATGGGTCAATACTCATATTTAACATGTTCAGAACAGGTTGAAAATAGGGGGTCAAAAATGTATAGAGTCAACTTGTTATGACCCGTGGATCCATTAATTATTATTATTATTATTAATTATTTTTTTCCCAGAAGGTTTTAAAATTTTATTTAATAACAAATCAAAAAAAAATCTCAAATTCAGTAATATTTATCAACTCGTTTGAGAGAGAGAGAAGTGAAGGAAAGAGAAGAAATATTGATATTTTAAAAATAATTTTTTTTTAAAAAATTTTGATGTTTACAAACATAGAAAAAGAAAATGTAATTTGCATATTTGGATAAAAAAAAAAAAATGACCTGTGAAACCCAACCGACCTGCCAAAATATTGATGTTTAAAAAATACAATTTTCTTAAAAATTTTGATATTTACAAGCATGGAAAAGGAAAATGTAATTTGTAAAAAAAAAAATTGTCACGTGAAACCTGACCGATCCGTCCAAAATATTAATGTTTTAAAAATAAAATTTTCTTAAAAACTTTGATGTTTACAAACATGGAAAAGGAAAATACAATTTACATATTTGAAAAAAAAAAAAAAAAAAGAATTTTTGACCCATGAAACCCAACCGATCCGTCCAAAATATTGATGTTTTAAAAATAAAATTTTCTTAAAAATTTTGATGTTTACAAACATGGAAAAGGAAAATGTAATTTGTATATTTAAAAAAAAAAATTGACCTGTGAAATCCGATCGACCTGCACTATAATATCAATGTTTTAAAAATAATTTTTTCTTAAGAACTTTGATGTTTACAAACATGGAAAAGGAAAATGTATTTTGCATATTTGGGGAAAAAAAAAAAAATTGACTCGTGAAACCAGACCAAAATATTCGAGTTGGCCCAACCCAAACCGATTTCGGGTTGAGGTTGGGTTGGGGTTGGGATTGGGCTAGATTGGGCCAGCCCAACTTGCAACCCTAATAGTGGGTGAGTGAATTTTAGAGAGAGAAATGAGTTGAGTGTGATATAGAATAGATGCGTATTGCGTGTCTATTATGTAATGGGTGAAATACCCATATTCAATCCATCTTGACTTTCAAATTAAATGATTAAAAATTACCCAACTCATTTTTGACCCATCTTAAATATGATTAACTCAAAACCATTAAAAAGTGGGCAATATGAACGGGCTGATGATTTCTGACCCATTTTACCACCCTAATCTTAAACTTTGTGTGTCATCAATGGGGTTGAGTCAAGATTCTTCTGCGAGGTTTATCCATGCGACCAATGAGAGAATGCTACGTAAAGGACGTGACGCACGTACAGGAAAAAGACGTCGAGTACCGTATAAGACTTTTGAAGTAGAAGACACCGTGTATCGCACGGTCAACTTGGATTACACGTGACAGAGTAACAAATTAATGCACTGCAAAATGTAAAAAAAAAAAAAATAAAATATTGGATTATACTTATTTTGTAACTTTGTAAATATGATGAGACCATTGTAACTTTTTTCTTATTTTTTTATTTATAGTTTTTGAAAACCACAATTTCATTTAAGGTCCCTTAACTTACAATACACAAATATGTCAAGTAAGGTGAAATAGTTACAATTATGTAAACAAAATTAACTCCATGTGAAAATGCAGACCAATTTCGGGCCCCAAATTAAGAGTGGTAGAAGAGGGGAAGTAGATAACAATGCACTAAAGCAATGACTTTTTTAGTAAAAAGGTGAAGAGTGGGTCTTAGTGCAAAGCATCAAGTTCCAGTATCTGAGCAAGTAACTTATGCGAGACTACCTAGATGAGTTAAATTGTAATCAGATTAAGTTTTTTTTTTTTTTCCTTGATAAGGAGTAGTCAGGTTGAGTCTGAACTTGTCTAATCTTACCCGGTGCATGTGTCTTGTAAGAGTATTGCGTATGTTATAAAATTAATTATTCTTACTAGTAAAGTGTAGAAATATGTAATTTTTTAAAATAAAAAAGTGAAAAAATATAGAGCAATTAATTTTTTCTCAAAAAAAAAAAAATGGATTGACTAGATAATAGATATGTATGAAGACGAAGAGCAATTACTTCCCCATTTGAGGTGTAAACAAAGTTGCATCCCGTGGCATGCCACCCCTTCCATTACTAAAATTAAAAATGTTCTTGGATTGCATGTGGGTTGTAACTTGTAACAGACCGACAGTATTCAATATGGCTGTATTCGGAAATTCCATAATTACCAAGGGTTGAAATTCTTAGTTTTGGGACCAAATCAAGGCCAGTGACAACGTCATGCCACTGCAACATTCAGGTTCTATAAATGAACAACCCAACACCTCACGCTAGTACCACCTTTTCCCTTCGGATAAGCTTCACCTACTACAACTGTACTACCAATACCCACACCACCACCCGAATCATTTCCACTCTTCTAGTTATGGTCCTCTTGAAACTTTGGTGTCCTTTGATGCCGGAAGTTATTCTATGGTTTCTGATTAATGGTCATTAAATATGTTACGGTGATTCAACGAAACCAATGATTTGAGATTATTTTTAAAAAAATTATTTGGTACTCTTGCTCAAACTAATTTTTGGGATCACATTTGCTTTAGCATATTAATTATTTTACTTTATTATTATTTTTTTTCAAGTTATGTTGGGCGGGTTTAGAACATGTCACTCCTATTATTGGTCGGTCTCGTTAAAAAATAACTAGGCTCAGGTTCAGGTGCAATGGTAGAGGGAAGTTTTCTGATTTTATTCCTCAACTTTTGGCCAATTTCAATGTTTAAGATCCTTTTTTTGCCCCTTTTTTTCACTATAATAGAAAGGTTATGTATGTGTAATATTTTGTGATTCTTTTTAAAGGTAAAAATGGACCCTGATTGATCTAATTTTTGTAGTTAATTTCACTTAATTATTGGGATTTTTTCTCTATTTTTTTCATGATATTTAAAGATAGTTACCAGACAGGTTTATTTTTAATTAAGGTCATGTTTAATACTATTTGTAGTAACTAGAAGTTTCATTATTCATAAATAACATATTAGAATTTAATTTTTTCTTGAAATTTGTGAATTCAAAGTTGCTCCTTCCTTTTCTTGTCACAAGTTAAAGAATAGGCTGTTGGACATTTTCATCATTTTTCTTAATATTATTAATCTGCTGTCACAGTATTTGTTGTACTTAGGGTTAATGCTGATTAATTACCTGCTTATGAAACAAAATCAAAAACAAAAAAATTCGTTAATTTAGTTGATTTAGAAAATCGTTCTATTTAAAGTTTTTTCTTTTTGAAAAATTCAATTAAGAAACTTAAAAAGTGAAATAGTCAATTTCATATTTACCCTCTGAAATCAGCACTGAGATCAAGATGAGTCAGACACCATTGTGATTCATGTGCTTAATTATGGATCTTCCAGAATCTATGCTTTTGACAGTCAATTAGATCGTGATAAAATCATCAACCTAATGAAACTTGCAAAAACCAAGGAATCCGAAGTGCAAACCAAGTTTTTATCACTTTTCTATCAGAGAAATTATTACATTCATGTCAGAAATTATTAGATGATTCTCCACCAATTTAATTTAGATAGTTGTTTATAAAATACTTTGTACACTTTTTTTTTTTTTTTTTTTGGTAATATAATTAAACATGATTAAATGATAATTTCTCCGTTTCAATTACAGTAAATGAAGATTGAAGAGGGCAATCAGAAACTAATTGTTTATGTCAAATAAAAGTTGGTCATTGAAGTCGTAAACGTTTTGATTACCCAGGAAAATACGGAACCTAAAATGTAATATTCTACATAGTTTTGACAAACAACTGGATTATATAACAATCAACTTAAAGAAAGTTAGAAAAAACGTAATAGCGTAGATCAAAGTTTTTGCTTGGTTTTCAACCATTTAAAGAAGGCATTGGAGCGTTACAATTTAAATCTGGAATTGCGTTGAAAACCATGAGCTTCCGTAGGTGGTGGGATTACTTTGGAGTGTTACAACATAATTAGAAATTGATAAAATTAATACTAGCTAGTAGATTAATTACAGAGTAACCCATTCTTTAATTATTAATTTTTTTGGGGAAGTCCCGTAACTTCGTACATTATAATTAATACACGTATCAGTTTTCTATACATGATGGTTGGGAAAGGAACATTCATAATGAATTTTAAAACTGCTCTTATCAAGTAAGTGGGACTTTGGTGGACTCAATCTCCCTTAATTTGCTTCTTTCCCAAAAATTAGTCTAACTGGCAAAAATTAGACATATTTTTCAAATGAGTGGAAGACTGTCTACATATGACGTCACTCACACAACGTGAGTTCAGAAAACTTTGACTGAAGTGAAATAGGGGTTGTAGCAATTACTCTCACCCTTTTGACGTGTGAATGGTAAAGCTCAATCTCGTGCATGTCACCTCGTCTGGATTACTAAAAATTAAATTACTTTGGTACCAATCGCATTATAGCAACAAACCGATGGTATTCAATAATGGCAATAATATCCAGAAATTCCATAAATACGACCCTGCATTGAAAAGGTATGTGGGGAATAAACACCCAAAAAAATGAAGCCTTCACGCACGCATTGTTGTACTCAAACCGTCACCCACTGTTAGTACTTATGTAATGACATCATCCCCTTATGCCACCCTTCCATCTAATGTAATGGACCACAAGCTTCAACTACTAAGGTACCATACACCACCTCTCTCTCTCTCTCTCTCTCTCTCTCTCTATATATATATATATATATATGTATGTATATATATGTATATTTATATAAGACTCCCTCTCTCTCTTAGTCAAATAATTTCACCAAGCAAGGTTCAATTGAAAATGTATAACAAGTCTTTCTAGATCAATTTGCTAAATTAGTAGGATTACTGAGTTTGATATATATATATATATATATATATATATTTCCAAACTAAACCATAGAGTTCATTCACTATCAATTCAAGTTTAGCCTCATTTTGACATGATGACACTTACATTATCAATTTATCATATTATTGTCATGAAGTGATGTAGAATTTAACAAACAGTTATTTATGCATAAAAACTGCTTATAGAAGTACATTGTGATAAAATTTATCTTAAGACAATGGTACAAGGAAGGGTTCAAGTTCGGGCAAAAACAGGCACGTGTGCGGAGTGGGGATGTATTTCACTTGCTAAATAATAATAATAATAATAATAATAAACTCCTCAAGGCCAGCTTTGGATTGGTTATTTGGAAAATGAGTAGACAGTGTTTGAGGCCCATTTGTTTTGGATTGGTTAGTTGGAAAATAAGCTACTGATACTGTAAAGGAATTGTGTAAGATCTACATCAGAGACATAGTTAAGCCTTATGGAGTGCCGGTGTCTATTGTCTCAGATCGTGATCCTCGTTTTTCATCTCGATTTTGGAGTAGTTTCCATGCAGCTTTTGGTACTCCTTTGAGTTTGATAACTGCTTTTCATCCTCAGACCGATGGCTAGTCCGAGAGGGTTATTCAGGTGTTGGAGGATATGCTTCGTGCTTGTGTGCTAGATTTTCGGGGCAGTTGGGAGGATCACATTCCATTGGTTGAGTTCGCTTATAATAACAGCTATCAGGCTAGTATCGGCATGGCACCGTATGAGGCACTTTATGGTAGACCTTGTCGTTCACCGGTATGTTAGGCTGAGGTTGGTGATGGTAGTTTATTGGGGCCAGAGTTGGTGCAAGAGACTACAGAGAAGGTTGCCATCATTCGAGATCGACTTCGCATAGCTCAGAGTCGACAGAAGAGCTATGCAGATCGACGCCGTCGTGCTTTGGAGTTTAGTATGGGTGACTTGGTGTTCTTGAAAGTATCACCAATGAAGGGGGTTACGAGATTTGGCAGGAAGAAAGGGAAGTTAGCTCCTCGATTCATTGGACCTTTTGAGATCACAGAGAGGATTGGGGAGGTGGCGTATAGATTAGCTTTACCACCCAGACTATCGACTGTTCATGATGTTTTCCATGTCTCCATGTTGAGGAGGTGCTTGAGGGATGAAACTCAGGCCATTGACTGCACAGAGGTCCAGATTCGTCATAATGCAACCTATGTTGAGATGCCTGTTCGCATTGTTGACAGTATGGTGAAACAGTTGAGGCGGGCAGAGATACCTTTGATGAAGGTGCAGTGGAATCATCAGGACGAGAGAGAGGCTACTTGGGAGCTAGAGTCAGAAATGAAGGAAAAGTACCCACAACTCTTCGAATAAGGTATGCAAATTTCGAGGACGAAATTTCTTTTTAGGTGGGTAGAATGTAAAACCCTTAAATTTCGTATAGTATATTTTATTATTTATTATTTATTATTTGAATGTTAAATTAAAGATATTAGAGTTTTTTAAATTTAAATTTCAAAAAGGAATCCTAAACTATCTCAACCACAGTTATAATTATCTTTTATAACTCACGCCGTATCAGTTCTATAGAGATATTATTTGTAAAACAAAAAAAGAAAGAAAAGAAGAGAGAAGCGTGAGATATAGAGAGTGATATTTAAAGTTGACGTCTGTGGTAGCCAAAAGGTAGACGGTGACCGAGAAATTGCCTAGAGAAGAAGGAGAAATTATATTTCAATAGTCGAGTCTGGAAAGGAAGGTGAAATGATATTTGAGGCAAGTTAATCTTGCATTGTACTCTTATATATATTTGGAACTTGCTTTTGATGAATCTTGTATGTTTTAATAAATAGTAGGAAAAAAATATATATATATATTCTTAATGATAGTTATGATTAGGATAATATAGTTGTATAGGTTGTTGTCTTGAATTTAATTGGACGAGAATTATTTATTACTAAAGATTAGATAAAAATTCAATTGTAGAAACTTTGGTTATTGGTTTTGTTAAATTTGTAAAGATTGGTTATGTTATTATTATTTTAGTAAATTGATATATAAGGTTACAAGTTACAATTTATTGATCTCACCCAAACAATCAGAATGATTATTAATATTTAGTTATTGTTATGAACTATTTGTCTGATGTATCTATGAGATATGGTTGGAGGACTAGATCATAGAATTATAAATTGTGTATTATGTATATAAACTCTGGATCTATATATATACATATATACATGTATGTATAATTCTTGTAGGCATGTACATGAAAGCAAGCATCTTTATATGGATATATGTATATATGTTTAGATACGAACATGTGAATTAGGAACTGAGCCATGTCTACTAGTTGGCAATACTATTGTAACATGATTAGGATATATATATGATTTAATATTAACCAAATTGAATACTCTTACTTTTTGGTCCTTCATACCTCTCTATATATATAACTTGCGAAAATTGAGTTTAGAGACTTTGTCTGTCTGTGATTGATATATATATATAAAGTATTGCATTGTATACATGATTACTTTGGTTCATGTTAATCATGTAGCAGGACTGGGTAATGTGTGCATCAATGGCATATGTTTATACATATGTTTATTTGATATATTATACATGTGAGTTTAGTCCCTAATTACAGTGACTTGTACGCACGTGATGGCTAGATTGCAAGTTGCTCTTTTTTTTTTTTTCATATTTCGTTGATATTGAAAACAGATTGAAATAAAATACTATTTGATTAAAGGAAATAAAATAGAATACTATTTCTTTATATTTTATTATTATTCTTTTAAATTGATTTTTAAACTAAAGGAAATAAGGAAAAATAGTATTATTATTCTAAAAATATTGGGGTATGTCCAGAATTTGGTACTCTCAGTGGTTGGGTCATTAGAGTTCTGTTTTTAAATTAAAAGTGTATTTGGGTGCATTAACTATTAATTTGAATTATTAATTAATGATATCTCTCATAATTCACTATAATTAATAATGATGAGTTTGGATTAGTTGGAGGGCAGTCAGGGACTGACCCTACGATGACTCTTGGGTATGGTCAGGGACCTACCTATTTGGGAGTGCACTACCCTTTTGTTATGGCCATGGGTCTAATGAGCCCTTATTGTGTGGACGTGATCAGGGATCATCTGGGGAGTAGACGTACAATCCAGCCACACGTGTGTTTTTGGTAGTCAGGGACTATACGATTCACACTATTTTATTGGACGGGAGCCTGGGGCTCATGTGAGATATGCCGATTTATTAAAAAAAATAAAAGATGGTTATTTATTAAGTTTATAATTAACTGGGTTATACACATTTGAATAATGAACTTATTTGAGTTGCTTATATATACAGGAATATAAGGTAAGGTTAATTTGCTGAACGATGATTGTGTTTAGCATTTATTACTGAGCTTGTGAGCTCACCCAATTATCACATTTCAGGTACACGTTGAGTAGGAACGCGATGTGATTACATGATGGTGATGGATTTTGGCTTGTTTGTCGCATTCTTTGGTTTAGTTCAATTTTCGCATTGTAATAAGAATGACGATATTTTTTTTGAGAGTTAGTTCATTTTGTCCAGTTATCATGGATTATTTTTGACAAGGTTGTTTGATATTATGGTTGTATCGATTGAATAAATTAGAGGGTGGTTTTCATCTACTTCTTTATTTAATTATTTTTATTGTAAAGTTGTGGTTGTGTAAGGAAAGTCATGTCAAATCTTAATACGATATAAGAGTTCATATATTTAGGATTTTGGGGCGTGACAAATGATACTCAGCTATTTCTTAATCTAATTGTTTGATCTAAATGGTTTTTATTCATGGTCTAAATGGTTTTTATTCATGGTGTAGTTCTAAACTCAAATACGAACTCCATCTACCAATATCAGATTAAAAAAAAAAGAAAAAAAGAAAAAAAGAAAAAAAAAAAAGTCAACTTTAAATTCCCGCCAGCTCCAACGAATTTCAATAGTTAAGTCAACTACTGAAAGTCTGACGACACCTACTATTTCTTTTTAAAAGATCACGTTTCTTAAATCAAAGACTATAACCAAAGTATCTGAAACCATTTAGGATATAGATTGTCCTTTATTAAAGATTATTATCTCACCTTGTTCGTCAACATAATGGATAAAAATGTTCGGATTTAAAAAAAATCAACATGTACGTTGTAATAAAACTGACTTCATATATAATAAAGACGATTGGAGAATCAAATACTAATGATAAGGAGAATTGATCACATACAATAAACAGACTTAAATTACATATAAATCATAACACAATACAAACTCAGAACTGCTACTAGGATCCAAATTAAAGACATTATTGACTCATACTAGTTCTTCATCACAAAGTTCAGCAGCAGCAGCAGATACTTAGCTATGATAGTAAGAGAGCATGGTGTAAATGGAGGACAAAAGTGTGAGGACATTGAGGATAATGGCACCAATGACTGTCATGCGCACATATATATTGTTAAAAAATAATCGCAAGAATGTTCGCCTGTTAATCCAGGAAGCAATTGTCTCCTTCATCATCAGATTGTATACCTTCGCATAAATGATTCGACGCGGAACAACATTTTTGCAAATATCCTTAAAGAGAATTCACTGGAACCCAAATAGTTATGTATGATTCCCGCGTCTTCAAGCAATTTAGCATCCTTTTCAGAATCGATGAGGATGTTCATGAGAAATGTTTGGCTCACAAAGTGGTCTGAGGTCGCTAGCCAATGAATGGCTGACCTAGAACGCGGGCTTGCCAGAGTCCTGATGGACTCGAATATTTCTTGCCAAACTATTCCTATTGGGTCGGGTCACCGACCTAAGGTGATTCAGGCGAAAGTTGGAGAGTAGGAATGACCCTCTCCTTAAGGTTGCTATTGCCTTTAAGAAAGGACTTTAAACATTTAAGATGAGTATCAATTAGAAGCAACTTAAACTGAACAATAAATATACCTGAATCTGCAAACCTTTCTTCATTGAACTTGACTGATTACAATGATGAATGAATTACAAACTCTTGACTGAAATGGAAACTAAAGTATTGAATGCTGAAAAATAACTAAGTACTAAACTGATAGTGCTAAGCTGAACTTGCTGAAATAAAAGCTAAATGATAAACTGAACTTGATGAGATAAAAGCTAAATGCTAAGTGATATGAATGCTAAAGGTTGAACTTTAGAAATGGTCTTGGACCCCTTCCTTGTGAAGCTTGAGAGGGTATTTATAGAGGTTTCCACCTGGTGTTGTCCTTCTCAACCGTTTCTCTAGAAATTGATTGGTTGTAAACTGAAAGTGACCCTTCCTAACCACCTTGCTGAGCTGGTCAGGTTGACTGACTTGCACATCCTTCTATAGGCAAATTAAAGTATGTCTGACATAGTATTTTTAACTAAGTGGTGCCTTGTCTTTCATGCTTGATGATTTTGGTCTTCAAGCCATTTTCAGCTCTCTGCACCTGTCATGTCTGGCTTGATTTGTACATTAGCCTGGAGGCATCTGATTACTGACAATTCTGACTCTCTTCGTCAGATGTAGGTGAGAACCTTCCAATTGTAGTTCTGAACTTCTGATATTGTCAAGTTGTCATTTTCTATTTCAAGCTCTTTCACGTTTCCAGACCTGACTTGTTGGGTTTTCAAATCATTGGGATTCCAGCCGATCTTCATTTGAATTACCCCAAAGATTCTTGAAGTGATTATGACCCGAGACCCCTAATCATAACCATATTTGGTCATGAGTCTTGATCATGGCCAAAGTGACTAAAAATCTTGGTTAAGATTCATGATCATGACCATTACGACCGAGAGTCTTATAATCATTGTGACCGAGAGGAATAATGGTCCAGACTCTTGATCATGGCTGGTTATGAGTCTCTGGAGAGACTTTGGATCGTGACCATTATGACTGATAGTCTCATGACCATGACCGTTGTGATTGAGAAAGTTGTGACTGAGAGTACTTTGGCCTAAACTCATGACCATCGTGACTGAGAGAAATATGGCCTAAGACTCATGATCATGAAACTGAGACTCTCATGACCATAGTGACTGAGAAGATTTTGGCCTAAACTCATGATCATGACCATTGAGACTGAGAGTCCCATGACCATAGTGACTGAGAGAAATATGGCCTAAGACTCATGATCATGAGACTGAGACTTTCATAACCATAGTGACTGAGAAGGTTTGGCCTAAGACTCATGATCATGAGACTGAGACTCTCATAACCATAGTGACTGAGACTCTCAATCATAGCCTGTTATGAGCTCAAAACCTCATATCAGTCTTAATGGCCTAAAAATTCCACTCTTCTTCATTCTCAGCCTTAAATCGGATCACCATGATTA